CCAACGCGCCAGCTTGCCGAGCTGCGCCCAGCCGCGGCGGTGCCCCGAGGGACCAAAAAGCGCCGCGGTCTGCGCCCGCCCTCCTCGGTCCTCGGGCCTGCCTCTTGGCCTCCTGGCGTCGCCGCCCCGCTCCGGGGAGTCGGCCCGCTGTTCGTCGACAGCGCGCGGGAGGCCTTGGCGTGCGAGGACATGAGCGGGATCCCGCGATCGGGCGTGCGTGCCCCGGGGGGGGAGCGCGAATTGGACCGGTTTCTGCACCGGACCGCCCAAACCAGAGGCCCCCCAGCCGCCGGCAGGTCCCGATAGCTGCCGACAGGGGGGGCATACGGGGGGCATCTTGTCTGCGGCGGTTCGGTGCACCAGCGGATCGAACTCGTGCGCCCTCTCGGGCTCACCCCCCTTTTTGGGTGGATCCCGCGAGGACATGAGCAGGCTGCCCTCCGCGGCGTGTCTGCAGGCGCTGCCGCGGCCGGGCGCCGCGGAGGTGGCCGCCATCCGCCTGCTGCTGGAGAAGGTGACGCTGCTGCGGGAGATCGGCCGCACCCAGAAGGCCGCTGCGGGCCGGTGTCTCTGCAGACGGGTTCCGCCCCGAGGCCCTGGCGCGACACTTGCTCACAACGGGCAGTGGCGCCTCTTTTCGGACCACGGCGATCGTGCCTGGTTTTGGACCCCAGGGCCCGCGTGGATCGATCTGGCTCGAGCACTGCGGCAGGAAGATGCAATCCAGGGTGCGGGTCGAGATGTTCTACTATGTTGCGTATTTGTTCGTTGCGTCGGATCTCAGGGTATATGCGGACGATGAGCTGAGACAAGGGCAGCTGGCCTTCGGGGGCCCCCCTGTCGCCACGGCTGGACGCAGCTCGGAAGAGCTGTGTGTCTGGACCCCGGAAAAGGTCCATGGGCCGATTTTGAGATGCCGCTGTCTCAACTCGCCTTGCTGCGCATCTATGCGCTCCCTCCTCCTCCTCCTCCTCCTCCTTCTCCTCCTCCTCCTCCTCCTCCTCCTCCTCCTCCTCTTCCACCGCCTCCTCCTCCTCCGCCTCCTGCTTCTCTTCCTCCTCGTCCTCCTCCTGCTCCGCAGTGTCTGGTCCGGGCCATCCTGGGCCCCCGGCGCGGTGCGCATGCCGGCTTAAGTCGGGCATGTCCCTCTACAGGGGGAATATTCCAAAGTACTTTCAAACTTAGTCTGGATACGATTTTTCTATTTATCATTTTTGAGCATTTTTTAGTAAAGATTGAGTATGTTTCATTTTTCGTTGAAAATCTGTCTGTAGGGGGAGGCCCGACTTAAGCTTAGGCTCTTTCTCTGCGAAAAGCCGGGTGCTGCCGGCCGGCTGTGGCCCTGGCCTGGCCCAAGGTGCCCCCAGTTTTTTTTGTCCAGTGCGTAGTATCACCTGCACTTTTTGGCAGCCTCCGGCAACCGAGGCTAGCCTCATTTTGGGGGCCCTCTTGGCCTCGTGAGATTTGCTTCGGAGGCCATCTAAGGGACGCAGAACAACGAGATTGACTGCGTGGGCATTCACGTGCAAGCTGCTTGCGTAAAATGCCGTTCATGCGCCCTCGTTTCTAGTGTAGAGCACCGCGCTGGCGGCCCGCGTAAGCCACCGCGTAATTTTCTCCCGGAAATGAAACAACGGCGTAACCACAACCGCGCGGATTTCTTCGATCTGGGCTGGACCCCCCTGGCGCAGCCTTTGGTGCCGCCCATGCGGCGCTCCGCACGCCAGGAGGGCCCAGCTCCGATCCAAGATGTCCGTGCTGGCCATCGGCAGTTCATGTTTACGTCGGTTTCTGCTAAGGAGGAAACACCACCCGGACCGGACAGTTGGCGTTTGCTTAACGGCCTTGGGCCTAATTTACTAAACAGCCCTGCCTTGTTTGATTCCTTCTTTGGGTTCGTTTACTAAACGGCTTCGCGTGTCGGGGTGGTTATTGTCGGGGGGGGAATGTTTACCCTCTATGTCACGCCACCGTGTGCAGACTCCTCTCTCTCTTCGTCGCTCCTCGGGTCTGGCCTGGGAGAGCCTGGAGTCACACTGGGCCACAGCCAGGCGGCACCCTCACCCGCGTCCTCCTCCTCCTCCTCCTCCTGGCTCCTCCTCCTCCTCCTCCTCGTCCTCCTCCTCCTCCTCCTTTTTGCTCCTCCTGAGGAAGAGGAACAAGATGAGGAGGATCAAGCGGAGGAGGAAGAGGTGGGGGATGCGCACGACGCTACAGAAGGCCGTTGGAGGAGCAAGAGGAGGATGAGGAGGTGGAGGAGGAGGCGGCGGAGGAAGGGCCCCTTGACTCCTGACAAGCAGGGCCTCTCCGACGGCAAGCGCTTCGCCGACGTGCCCCAGGCCCGGCAGCACCCGGTCGGGGAGCCCATCGGGCGGGACCACGTTCCCGACCCAGCCCGCCTCGCAGAGGCTCGAAGACGAACATCGACTACACGCAAGAGTGTCCCTTCGCTCGAGTTCAGAGGAGGAAAGGGTATTTACCAATACCTCTATCCTTCGGCCGTTTTCCCCTTTTTGGGCCTCCTGGGGGGCCCTCGTCGCCACCGCTGATTCGCCTCGAAATCCTCGATCTCTGCAGAGAGGTCCGGGGAGTAGCGGTATTGGTACCTTTCGGTTTCCCCAGGAGTGATCTTGAGTGTGGGTCCCCCGATCGCTCAGTACGATGCGACAGCAACAGCTTGCGCGCTCGGGTGTAGCCCCCCTTAAGCCGCGCACCAAAGTTCAAACTTGACTAGGGCAACTCTTGCGTGTAGCCGAGAGCAAATTGCAGAGTCAAAGATTTTCAGAGATCCGGGCAGATGGTTCTTGGTTCGGCGGCGCTTCCGGCGCTCCCCCTGGCGCGCTCCGCGCGCCAGAGAGGGGGCCCAGCGCCGATCCAAGAGATCCACGCGGAGCTCCGAAGGTTTATGTCTATGCAAATTCGGTTTCCTCCAAGGTGGTGGAACCGCCGGGCGCGCTGCGGCCTGGAACGTGACCGGGACCGCGCGGGTCCGCCTTCGTCGAGCGGCTAGTGTTCGAAGAAAAGCAAGTTTCGGATGGGACCGTGAGGGATGGGGTCCTGAGGGACTGGGTCCTAGGACGAGGTGCCCCAGACAATGTAAGTCCACCCTTGGATCCCTTCCTGTCCTCAGGACCCCACGCCTCAGGACCGCACCTGTGAACCACCGAACGTTGCATGAGCGGTTCACAGTCGTCGCTCCGCGCGAAGTGCGGAAAATTCTCCCAGACCTGCGCTGGGCCTCCCCTGGCGGCGCCTCCGGTGCCGCCCCTGGCGCTCTCCGCGCGCCAGGGGGGGGAGGGCAGCGCCGACGCGCGGACCTCCGAACATTTATGTGTATGCAGTCGGTTGTGCCCCTGCCGACGAGGTTCGAGGACATGTGTGTTGTCCTCTGCGCGCCTCCAGGAACTCCTCGTCGTCACGGTCCAGATGCGCCTCGACGTCGTAGCGTGTGCTTTCTGTGGACGCCTCCAGGGAGCCCCTCGTCGCCACGACTCGGCAGCGGCTCTCGAAGTCTCGGCCGGAGCGCGCCCCTCTGGACAGGTCCTGGGTGGTCGGTTCTTTGAGCATGGGCTGGGCATCGATCGCCAGGAAGACTCCTCCTCCTCCTCCTCCTCCTCCTCCTCCTCCTCCTCTTCCTCCTCCTCCTCCTCTTCCTCTTCCTCCTCTTCCTCTTCCTCCTCTTCCTCATCCTCTTCCTCCTCCTCATCCTCCTCCCCCTCCTTCTCCTCCTCCTCCCCCTCCTCTTCCTCCTCCTCTCCTCCTCCTCCTCCTCCTCCTCCCCCTCCTCCTGCCCCTTCTCCTCCTGCTCTTCCTCCTTCCTCCTCCTCCTCCTCCTCTTCCTCCTCCTCCTCCTCCTCCCTCCTCCTCCTCCTCCTCCTCCCCCTCCCCCTCCCCCTCCCCCTCCCCCTCCCCCGCTCCTATGTATTGACCAGACCTTACGTGAGCACATGTGGCATTCTAACACCCCCCCTTCTTCCGGGGTCCTGAAGGACACTGTTCTGGAGCCTCCTTCTGTCAATTCTTGGGATGGGGTGACCAGGCCCAGACCTCCGCCCTGACGTGGAAGGGGATGAGGAGTGCACGGGGGATGGGGAGGAGGAGTTGGGTGGGGAACTAGGAGCGAAATAAGGACGCACACGTACATCAATCCTTGCTGGTTTCGAGAGTGCGCCTTGCGCAGATTTTCGTATCATGCGGCTGGCCTCGCGGACTGGGGGCCGTGTCAATGTGCGTGGGCGGGGTCTCTTATCTGCATGACTTCCGAATCTTTAACCGCCTTTGCTCAACAAGCGAGCGATGTAGGAGGAGGAGGAGGAGGAGGAGGAGGAGGAGGAGGAGAATGAGGATAATGAAGAGAAGGGTTGGGAGGGGGATAAGGAGGTATAGGATGGGGGGGGGAAGGCGGGAGGGACGAACAGGTGGAGCAAGACGGAGCAAGATAATCGAGGATGGAGGACGAGACGGCAGAGTAGGATGCAGAGGAGGGGAAGGAGGAGCAAGAGGAGCGGAATGAGGAGGAGGGGAAGAACATGCAGAAGTACGGGAAGTTGAGGCTTGAACAACGTCCCTCATGTATCCTTAGACTTCTCGAGGATGAGGAAGACTGAGGATGAGGATGGGTTTTCTCTCTCTCTCTCTCCCTCTCTCTCGGCGGAGGAGGAGGAGCATCCTTAAAGACGAAAAAGGGAGAGACGGGGCCCTCTTCACCCCATGTCGGCGAAGGGCGCCTTTGCGGACGCTCTGTGTTGTTCTACGGCCTACCAGCGTGATGTCGCGTTGCTAACGCGCATCCTGGCGGCGAAGGAGGGGGAGGAGGGGGGGGAGGAGGGGGAGTGCGCCAGATTGGGAAGACTGGCAGCAGCAGGAGTCGCAACAAGCACCACGCGAAAATCGGCACGCAGTGGCGGCCCCTATCGGGGCGGTCGCGCGCGTGATGTATTGCTTTTCTGTTGCTGTCCGGCGGTGGTGTACCTCTGCGGGCCCCGCACTCCCCCTCCCGC